ATCAGAGCTCACTTGGAAATCAAATCCTGTCAGCAGTCCTTAACCGCTCTGTCTCTCACGCAGACTCCGGTGAAACCAGAACCCAGGCCCGAACCTGTCATCAGTACATTCTGTGTGTTGTGCATAATAAACGTGTTAAACTTTCATCCTTGTGTCCGTCAAGTGGTGTTCTGCATAATTGGGTCTCCATTTGAGAACCCATCATGACAACATAATACTTTACCCACGATAGAAGTTTAGAATGACAGAAAACGGATAAAATAGTGATCCGCTTTGAGTCTCACAACACTTTTCATAATCTGTCCAAGTCAAATGTGGTGAAATTGTTTTAAGTTGTGTGTAGCACAGAGACAGAAATGAAAAATATCTTTGCATATCTTCCAACCCTGCCTAGTTGTTGCCTCTCTGTATGCATTCAGTGTGACATGGAAAAAAATCGGATCGGAGATTAAAAAAACTTACACCGCTCGTGTATTGTGGGCTTAAGTGATATTATGAAGAGAAAGGAAAAAGCCAAGATTAAGTAAATATCTAATGTCCATTAATAAACATGACAAGCTCTTCACAAATCCTGGCATAGATTGCTTAATTTATTACTTCATTCTAACATAAACATTTGTTTTTTTGTGTAAGGCGTGACTTGGCATCTTTAAAGTATTGGGAATTGCTGCACTCAAACCTTATTCTGCAGTGATTACTGATTTAGTTTAGGAGTGGAAAAACAGCAAAACCTCGATTTGCCGTGGAGCTCCACATTAATATGTGATAAAGGTTTTTCCATGGAGCAAGATTTAAAAGAAGGTAGCCCTCTGTTACATTAGAAAGGTCTCATGTGTGCTTTTACTTTGAAGTCTAGGATATTGATGTGAACGCAAAAACAGTGTGGTTGCCAGGCCAATCACAGAATCTTCTAAGTAAGACAGCCATGTCAAAAGTAAAACATTTGCCATTCTAGTGCTGACTGAAGACATAATGTGTCAGATTAAAACCATAATTTAGAACTAAAAGGTCTGAAAGGAGCGCAAACAAAATATTGAACATGTCTTGATATTAACCGTCAAAAAATGAGAAAAAGGCGCACTTTAATTTTTTATTTTTTTTAATTAATTCCATCCATCCATCCATCTTCCTCCGCTTATCCGGGGTCGGGTCGCGGGGGCAGCAGC